CTCGGTCATTTAATCCTCTAAAATTTCTGCATTATTACTGACGTAGGAGTGACTCACGAAATTATAATGACACGATAGGAGTGATGGTAGAAAGAGAAGCAAAATTAGAATACATAAGTTTATGGAAGTGTACGAAAAACATCAAGTGAGAGAACCACTAAACATAGGTTAACTTCATGTGAAAGCATTTTTGACGAAGTTTATATTAACAAAACAATCTTACACAAGACGAGGTACTTACAGTTGGAAGACTGCAGGTGAAGTAGCTCAAGTTATATGGTTAATGGAGGGGTTTCAAACTTATCGACTGCGCGAGGATCATTAAGGCTGCCCGTAACCTTCTCACCACCAATCAAGAATACGCTGAGAGAAATGCGCATCTCGGTATATACATCCTGTGTTTCGACAGGGCAGATGAAATGACCTCATGTCTTCCTCGGACACAAGTAAATAAAAAAACAAGAGAAGCAAGGACAATAAATAGAATTTCGAACTCTGGAACACAGATGGCGCTGACATGCTCTCCCCCAGGCCTGAGTCTGCAGTTAAATTCGGTGCGTCAAGTATTACCAGCTCTTGATGCTGTGACTGACAAAACACCCGCTCTTGATAAGGATAGACTCAACTCGAAATAAATTATGTGTTAAATTGGAAACAGCAATTTAGAAAACAATATAGAAAGACAGTGATGTACTGGATATGGCCCATAGGTCGTATTTTTCACTCGCCGTCTTATAATAATAATAAACTAATAATAATAATAATAATAATCTTTATTTCTACACGTACATGTACATGGTATACAGGCATAGGTGACATCAGTGACATACTACTATATAGAAAACCGCTTGTTATGCAGAGCATTTCGGGCAAATTAGGTCAGTTTTGTCCCAGGATGCGACCCACACCAGCCCAATAACACCTAGGTACCTATTTTACTGATAGGTGAACATGGACAGCAGGTGCCTTATTGAGAAAACACATCCTAACGCTTTCCACCCTTACCGGGAATCGACCCCCGGACCTCAGTGGGTGAGGTGAATGTGCTAGCAATCCAGCTACGGGACACCTACGAAATTTTAAGACAATACTGTACCTTAGAACAAATCCAGGATCATACTATTTTTATACTCAGTGGCATAGTCAATAGTAATAATACTAATAATATATGTAATCATAAAAAGTTATAAACTATAATATGTAAGCATCTATTTTGTTTACTATGGTTCTGATATGTGAACATGTGACCACAGGTTGCTCACCAAAGCTCCTTCAACTCCATGAAAGAGCGAGGGGAACCCATCAAGGATATGGAAGCATTTATCCCTGATAAGCACAAGAAGTTTGGAGGATACTTCAGGAAAGGTACGTGTGTGTGTGTGTGTGTGTGCGTGTACTCACCTATTTGTACTCACCTATTTGTGGTTGCAGGGGTCGAGTCTTAGCTCCTGGCCCCGCCTCTTCACCGGTTGCTACTGGGCCCTCTCTCTCCCCGCTCCACGAGCTTTATCAAACCTCGTCTTAAAACTGTGTATGGTTCCTGCCTCCACTACGTCATTTTCTAGGCTATTCCACTGCCTTACAACTCTATGACTGAAGAAATACTTCCTAATATCTCTCTGACTCATTTGTGTCTTCAACTTCCAGTTGTGGCCTCTTGTTTCTGTGTCCCCTCCCTGGAACATCCTGTCTTTGTCCACCTTGTCTATTCCACACAGTATTTTATATGTCGTTATCATGTCTCCCCTGACCCTCCTGTCCTCCAGTGTCGTCAGGCCGATTTCCCTTAATCTTTCTTCATAGGACATTCCCCTTAGCTCTGGCACTAACCTTGTCACAAACCTTTGTACTTTCTCTAGTTTCTTGACGTGCTTTATCAAGTGCGGGTTCCAAACAGGTGCTGCACACTCCAGTATGGGCCTGACATACACGGTGTAGTGTCTTGAACGATTCCTTACTAAGGTATCGGAACGCTGTTCTCAGGTTTGCCAGGCGCCCGTATGCTGCAGCAGTTATCTGATTGATGTGTGCTTCCGGAGACATGTTCGGTGTGTGTGTGTGTGTGTGTGTGTGTGTGTGTGTGTGGTGTGTGTGTGTGTGTGTGTGTGTGTGTGTGTGTGTGTGTGTGTTTGTGTGTGTGTGTGTGACCTAACCTAATTATGTGAGAAATTACCTGCACGAGGTTTACAGGGTATTACCTGAATTATTACATGTAAGTAATTTGGGTGAGGTAAGTGGGACTTAGTCACAGTAGGTCACAGGACTGTCACTCCTTTGATTCCCACTCCACCACTCTTATAGAAACCTACACTACCCAGCGAGAAATCTAAACGAAAGGACAATGGCGTACTTCTTCCCTGTATGAGTGATGGCATAGTCTCCTTATTTCCACCATCCACACGTAATTCTGGAGGTCCCGCAAATTTCCTGTCCCAATTCTTCAGCAGGGGACATTAAACACGGGTTCCTATTACAAATTTGGACCGAGACAACTAATTATGGCCTCGATGACGCCAGATTACGTGACGATCTACCACAACCAATGCTCACACATTAATTCACTATGGCGTCCTCTCCCCCTCCTGTATCACTCCGCGGACGCTGCACACTTCTTCAAAATTTCTTGAATGGTGAAATCAACGTCACGTTTAATAAACAACTATTATATTAGTCATATTTACTCCTGCTGAATTGAGGAAAATTAAAAAATTTCCACAGTTTATATTCACTTCTTTGTGACTTCAGGGTCGAGTCTCAGCTACTGGCCATCTCTTGTTTTAAGCTTGTAGTACTGTGTTGTTTTTCTCATGGGAAGTTTAGTTGCTATTTTTTTAAACAAATTGTGCTTAATGAAATAACTGGAGAATATCTCTCCTGATCAGAAGTCAGTGACTTTATTGGGCTATCCTAGGTTATCCCCATATTATATAATATTTATGTACCCGTGACATCTTTGTGCTCTCAAAGCAATTGTATTATTATTATAACAAGAGGGAAGCGCTAAACCCGGAGGATTATAAAAGCGCCTGGGGGGGGGTGTGGAAGGCATTCAGGCTTAATTCGGGGAACTGGAGCACAGATCCAATTCCCTAAATCAAGAGCCCCTCACCAACATCAAGGAACCTTCCTTGAGGGGAAAGCAATTGTAACTATTTTTTTTTTCGTATCAAAAGCCTAATTAAAAGTTACTAAACCTTAAAATTTCTGGTCAGTCTTACTTAGAAGAAAGTTTGGATTGATTTTGGCCTGTATAAGTTCCAAATTGCCATTTTTATTCAAGAAATTGGGAAAATTTAAATATTGTTTTGATAAGATAATTTGTGAGTTCCTTATCAGACTGGTTTCAAACCTATAACTCGATAAACTCATTCGTCGCTCAACCTCTGGGACGAGCGGACGTGAGCTGAGCCTGCCCTCTGCTGTCAGCCGGTGACAACTTGGTTTTCTCAAAATGGCGCAGCAGGCAAGAAGAAGGGTAAACACTGTCGGCATAGAAGTGGTGCATGGGGCTGTGCATGCCCACTCAGCTCAAGTTTTATTACCTGCCATCATCAAGGACACATACGGCATTGCCAACGAAGAGCTGTATGGTGTAGCCTTGAACGGGGCATATAGAATTTTTGTGAAATTTCTCAATGCAAGTGTATACCAGGGCATAGTCGCCCGGGTTTCCCAAAATCTTTGTGTACCAGTGAATCCTGCAGTGACGGTTTAACTACATGAGTTCCCGCCATTATCGTGGGTTTAAGATCAGAAATGTACCCTTTTTGGGA